ACATTGAAAAAGTTTCAGCCATTGTTCGGACACCTTGAATAATGCTATTGTCGACGGTACTGTAACTTTCAAGCTTCATAACTCAAGATTTACTTACCGAAAATACATTTTACCTATATGTTTTGGAAAGCTCTCGAAATAAGCTACAAGAATACGTAACGAAAAATAGGGGGTTCCGTTTAAAAAATTTAAAGTGACCTTGTCCTGACCTTGACGACGCCACTCAGGGTCAAACCAATATTATCTTATGTCCCCTTCGAAACCAAACAACTTTTGTCTGAAAAATTTTTCTCTCCCGGGCTTGATTTTCGAGATATTCGACTGGATTAAAATGGTCCATCCTGTATATAGGGCATTCTCTGTTAAAAAGGTCACCCCCACCTGCCTACTTCAGTTTTTGAAATAAAATACTTCAGAAGGTCTTAAAATTTTCGTTGAAGTGTTTACTTTTTGATGCCGTATGGTCTTTTTAAAAATTCAAGATAACAGATTCATAATCGCGACTAAAATGGAAAAAGCTATTGGAAAAATTAACATTTCTGTGAATAAAAGTGCGGGATGTGACGTAACGGAGGTATATTATTGCATATTCTTGTAGCTTATCTCGAGATCTCATCTTTTTAAAACATATAATAAAATATTTTTCCATTAAGTACTTTTCGGTAATTATTGAGAATAGGAAAACCACCTCCGATGACCTTGATCTTGATATATGTTATCAAGGTCATGAGGGATCCTGAGTGACCTTCAAAAGATCTTAGCTGTCACTCATCCTTTGTCCCTTAAAAAGTTATTAACAAATAAAGTTATTCAAATTAACGGTAATTATTTACTTTAAGAGAAGCATCTTCGATGATTTTGACCTTAACATTTGATTCTGAGTGACCTCCCAGAAATTTTAGCGTTCTTCGTTATTCGTTAAAAATTTATTATCATAAAACTCATGTGGAATAGTACAATTATAGATCTTGTTTCGCTCCGTAAGCAGGGGTGGGTGTAAGATAAACCTCGCTTTGTGTGAAAAATCGCAAACATGTAGACGTGTGCGTGCGTGCGTGCATAATACAAGAAAAGAAAAATAAATTTTTTTTATATTATATGTATAATTGTGCTGTCGGTTACTATATAGGCTCACAGTAATCAAGCTTCTGCTGGTCCATCGACATCCATGGTTGATGATGACGACGCTTTGGGACCATTACCGGCAGGTTGGGAAAAACGGAAACAACCAGAAGGGAGAGTTTATTATGTAAATCATAAGAACCGTACTACGCAATGGGAAGATCCTCGAACACAGGGTCAAGAGACTGGAATGGATGAGCCACCGTTGCCGGATGGTTGGGAAATACGATTAACGGAAGATGGGGTGCGGTATTTTGTAGATCATAATACTCGAACAACGACATTTCAGGATCCAAGACCTGGTGCACCCAAAGGGTTAGTTTTAAATATGTTACGTCAAGCTGTACAGTCGTGGACATATCAATTGCAACACTTTTTTCATAGGTATTTAGTACATGTATATTTAATATATACAGGGTGTCCCGAAATTCGCAAATCAAAAAATATTGTAGCAAGAAAGTTTTCGAAAAATTAAGCAAAAAAATTATTTGAAAATTTTTATTTTAAAGCGATCCTAAACTGGAATCAAACTCCAAGAATATCGCTGTTTTACCGACGATTTGAGTATGTATGCGTGCGATATTGATGCAATAGTGTGTAGTGATGTGTTCATGTTTACTACCATATCGATATCGCACGCACACATCGTAATAAATTTTCAAGAATATACATCTTTTTTATTAGGCATCCAAATCTAATTTTATGAACTCAACATTATTTGCACATGTATAATTTGTAGTTCCGGCTGGTATCACTTCGTACTAACACACTTCCAAATTTTTGTACATACATACATACGAAGCAAATATTGGCACATGTTGACAGCTCTAGTCACCATGTTGGACTAAGAAAAGGTAACGGAGATTAAATTTCTCAAATTTTTTTCGTTCTCAGCATAACCTCTACCAGTCGGAACTACATTGATGCCTATACTTTAATCGTGGAGAAGGATTTTTAAATCTATTGCCTTTTATTATGTTTATTTTGTCATAGAAAATAATCACGTTCGGTCGATAAAACAGACAACTTTAGGATCGCCTTAAGCAAAAGTTTTTGAGATATAAGGGTTTAAATTTAGCCAATTATAGATTAGTCTCGTGTGAAATGCACGACCGCTAACGACGCGCACACGGACATGTTTCCGTTTAATCGCAATCTATAATTGGCTAAATTTAAACTCTTATATCTCAAAAACTACTGCTCAAATTAAAAATTTACAAATAAGTTTTTTACTTAATTTTTCGAAGACTTGCTATGATATTTTAATTCGCGAATTTTTGTTGTATAAAATATATTTTATAAGTAACTAATATTATGCAAATGCGAACCACGATGGTGTACTATCATTAATTTAGAGACATTACACCAATCGTGGTTTGCATTGGCAAAATATTAGTGCGTTTCAAAACCTATTAAAAAAAGTGTTGCAACCGATATGCCCACGACTGTATACATAGTGTAAAATAACAAAATATTACAACTACATATCCTGTTTTTCTCATGCAGTCCGAAAGGTGTATATCGTGTTCCGAGAGCATACGAAAGGTCATTCCGATGGAAACTGTCTCAATTCCGATTTTTGTGTCAGACTAATGCATTGCCTAATCACATTAAAATTAGCGTTAGTCGGCAGACACTGTTCGAAGATTCTTACCATCAAATAATGAACGCGGAAGCCTTTGCACTAAGACGGCGATTATATATAATATTTAAAGGAGAAGAGGGTCTGGATTATGGAGGTGTATCTAGGTATAATATACAAATATATAATAAGGAAACTTCGTAATAGAGAAAAAGAGGGAATGAGAGTACATTGTCATTCATATCAGATATCAAATCTTTCACTACATGGAGTCACTGTGTTTCGTATAATCATATTATACATTCACTTTGTACGAAAAGCCATAGCTTATTTATATAGCGTTATTATCTGTTGTTATGAAGAAATGAAATAACTCTGCTTTTCAGGGAATGGTTTTTCTTATTAAGCCACGAAGTTTTAAATCCGATGTATTGCCTATTTGAGTATGCCAATAAAAGCAATTACAGCTTACAAATAAATCCGGCATCATACGTCAATCCAGACCATTTGCAGTACTTCAAGTTTATAGGAAGATTTATTGCAATGGTATGTTTCTATTTCATAGATAAGGATTCTTCTGTCGTTTTTTTTTTGTACTATATTACGAAAAAAAACTATATAATTTTTTTTTTTCAGGCCCTTTATCACGGCCGATTTATATATAGTGGATTCACAATGCCGTTTTATAAGCGCATGTTAAATAAAAAATTAGTAATGAAGGATATAGAATCCATCGATCCAGAATTCTACAAATCCCTCGTGTGGATAAAAGAAAATAACATCGACGAATGTGGCCTAGAATTATATTATAGCGTGGATTTCGAGATTCTTGGTCAAGTGATACATCACGAGTTAAAGGAAGGTGGTGATAAAGTTAGAGTAGGCGAAGACAATAAGGAAGATTATATTAGGTATATTCTCTTCGTAACAAAGATAATTGTGATATAGAAATTTATAAAAATAAATCTGTATATGTGTACGCACGCATGTATGTAGCAAGAGTTTCATCCGTGAATATTCAATAGGTTGATGACTGAATGGAGAATGACAAGGGGTATCGAGGAGCAAACTAAAGCATTTTTAGAAGGCTTTAATTCGGTCGTGCCACTTGAATGGCTCAAATATTTCGATGAACGTGAACTGGAGCTCATGCTTTGCGGCATGCAAGAAATAGACGTTGAAGACTGGCAACGCAATACTATTTATAGACATTACACTCGTAACAGCAAACAGATCTTATGGTTTTGGCAGGTACGATATTCGTAATGTTATTCTATCAAACTTTATCAGCAGTTATGTCATGTGCAAATATGCATTATTTACATTTTAGTTTGTAACGAGAACGGATAGTGAAAAAAGAGCTAGATTATTGCAGTTTGTAACTGGTACTTGCCGTGTGCCTGTTGGTGGATTTGCTGAACTAATGGGTAAGTTATAAAGAGACAAGATTACTTTTTCTAATTGATAATATATGAAAATGATAATATGTAGATTTATTCCATTTTATAAATGTGGATTTAATAAGAACGTTTATAAAAAGATTATTAACTGAAAAATGAACTGATTAATATTATTTACTGATTTAAGCTATGAATTAATAATTAAAGTTTGATAATGATATGGATTTTGTATTATTGTATGATGTGTTGTAAT